GAACTTGAGGCAGAGGTGCCTCATGGAGATGACGGCCTCGAGGTCCTCGAGGGCTGGCCGGCCGAGGATGATGTTGTGGGCACAGTCGATGTTGACGACGACGAACTCCACTTCGAGCTGGGCTCTATGGAGCCCGTCGCCAAAGATTACCGGGAGGGTTATTACCCCCTCGGAATCAATAGTATCGCCGGTGAAGCCGGCAAGAGGGGTCTTAATGGGTCGAAGGGTCCCCCTCTCCAGATGCAGCTCTCTAAAGGTGCTGAGGTACATTACATTGACGGAGCTGCCCGTGTCAATGTAAGTTCGGTGAATGATGGTGTCGTTTATTTCAGTCCGAATCACCAAGGCATCCCTGTGAGGAGAAGAAGTAGGAGGGAGATCTGCGTTGGTGAAGGTGATGGGTTCCTCCCTCAGCCGCTTTACCGGGGGCATATGAGTGACTTCCCCTACGTAAAGCGATTGAGCCCACTTTTTCCGCTGGCTGGTGGAGTCGCCCCCTGTATTGCCACCGGTGATCATGAGGATGTGGCGTTTTTTCTCCTGGTAGCGGGGGTACTCCTCCTCTTCCTCCTCCAAGTTTCCGATCTCCCTCTTCTTGCCGAGGGGGATGGTGTTCGGGTTCACCCAAGCGTTCACCTTCGTGTGGTGCCCTCGGGGAGGTCCCTGATGAGAAGGCCCCTCCTGCCGAGGGCTCTGGATAAATTGGGACAGGTGCCCCGCTTGCATCAATCTCTCGATGGCCGTCTTTAGCTGATGGCAGTCATCGGTTCTGTGCCCCTGGTGCCGATGGAAGCGACAGTACGGGAACTGCGGGTTGATAGCACGTACCTCCGGGGGTGCGCGAGAATCGCGCTCAACGAGGCCCCTCTCCTCGGCAAAATCAAGGATGATGCTGATGGGGTGCGTCAATGGTGTCCGGGGGCGGTCCAGGAGAATAGGTTGTGCCCAAGTCTTAGGGCTGCTCTTATAACCTCCCCCGGATTTGGCTTGGCCTTGCCGAGGGCGGTCATCAGAGGGTCCTGAAGACTTGGGGTGATTTGGAGGAGCCCCGGGCCCCCGGTTATTCTTGTTGTCAGCACTCGGGGGTTGCTGATCTGGATGCTGGTGGTATTTCTCCACCTCCTCGGCCTCAGCGTATCGGTCCCCCCGCTGCAGGGCCCTTATGTAATCGCGGGGGGGTTCAATGATGAGGCTCCTTGAAAAGTTGCCGGTGCGGAGGACGGTTTGTAGGAGGGCCAGGAGGGTCCCGTCGTCAGCACCGTCGACTTTGTCGGCTTCCGTTCTCCAGCGCTCCAGGAAGTCCCGAAGGGTCTCATCCCTCTTCTGGCGTATGGTTAGGAGGTGGGAGAAGTGCTTCCTTGTGCGACGTCTCCCGGCAAATTGCGTCAAGAATCACTGGGCGAGTTCTTGCCATGAATCAATGCAGCCCTCGGGCAACCGGTTGAACCATTCATATGCCGACCCCTCTAAGGTGGAGAGGAACCAACGACACAAATATTCGTCCGACGCCCCTACCATCATCATGCTGTTCTGATATTTGCTGTAATGCTCCTGGGGGTCCGTCTTCCCGTTGTAGGGCTGTATGTGTTGCCCTCGGTATTTTTCTGGGATCCGGGCCGCCAATACCCTTGGGGTAAATGGCGTCCGGGTCCGGAGCTGGATGATGGGTTCCCCAGAGCCCTCGGCTACCTTCTTCTGCAATTCCCCCATTTTGGCCATCATGGCCTCGTATTTGAGGTCTGAATGGGGGGTGGAGGTGGTGGCGTGAGCTTTGCTGGCCTCCATTTCATCAAGCCGGCGTTGGAGGGCCGCAATAATTTCGTCCCGGGGGTCCTTCGGGAGGGTCTCCGCCCCCTGCGAACGAACCCGGGCCGAGTGGGCCTGGTTGATTTGGTGGCGAGCATCGTCGGCATGAAGGGGTGCCTTGCCTTTGTCCCGAGGGGGACGCTCCTCGTCTGCCCTTGAGACAGACCCTCCGCTTTCCTGGGGCCTTTGGAGTGCTTTTCCTCCGAGGTGGTCTTGGACCCCTCGGCGGTCTTGCCCCCCTCCGAGCCGGTTGAGGGCGGAAGTGCGGGGCCTCTCTCTGTTGTCATTGTGGCGGTCCCGGGACTGAATTTCCTGGGAGGCCGTATCTTGGGCCACTATCCCTTCGTCATTCCTAACCCGAGGGATGGGATTTCCGAAGGGGTGTGGCAGAGGGGGAAGTATGATGTTCTCCCCAACCTGGGGTTGAGCTGGAGCCAGGGTGCCGAAGGCACCTGGGTTCTGAGTGAGCATCTGGATGAAGGCGGAGAGCGCCGAATGAACGTCGATGGTGAGAACTGGAGGGCTGATTTGGTCATCGCTCCGGTTCTTCTTCTTGGCCTCGATGCCGAGGCGGGCATCGGGGGCATTCTGCTGGATCTGAAGGCGTAGATCGACAGCCGCCTGTTCCAGCCCAGTGATGACACCGCCCTCGGGAGCCCTGTTAGAGGCTTCGGGGGCGTTGACGTCGCCGAGGGCCAGGTTCTTGTCTTCTACGTTTTTGGAGTTGGCACGTGTTGTTCTCACCATTTTGGTAGAGGGCTAGTATTTGGGGAAGGGGGAGGGTTTCTTACTTGATTGTTCGACCTCTCAACGAGAGCACCAAATGATGGATAAGTGTACCCGGGGGGTAGCTTATCCGAGGGGTTATTACGGGGAGTAATAAGAGAGAAGTCAGAGCAAGTGAATATAGAGAGAGAAAGTATATTATGAAGTGTGGAGCGTTTATGACTTGGTTACAAATGGGGAAATGGGGTGCTATTTATAGTAGCAATAAATGCCGGACAGGGACACGTGTCAAGCGCCCATTGGCCGAGAGGTCATCTCAACTGGTTGGTGCTGGCAGCCGCATGTGGCCGCATTTAATGCGGCTGATGGATGGGACGTTTGTATAGGGTACGGTGATTTGTACGCATGTGGCACGGATATTATGTCGGGGGAGGTGCCCTCGGCTGCAGAGGACTAACCGAGGGCTCTGAGTGCCGGGGACCCCCTGGGTGCCGAGGGCTACTGTTTTCTGCCGTTTTTCTCCCAGTTTCTTAGTTTGCTTGAAAAACCCGTTCCGTGAGAGTTTAGAGCCTTCGGCCAGGGGGCCGAAGGCACCCCTGGTGCGCCTTGCGGGCTGCTTGGTACTCTGGGCGCTGTGATTTGGGCCTGTTGGGCCTTTACTGGAGTAGTAGGAGTCTGTGGGCCGGGTGTTCCCGGGCCATATACTCCATCACATGACTGCTCGTATTCACTTTCCATCCTTTATATTGAAAATTCTTTTATATTGACTTTCTTTTATATTGAAATTTTAATTTAAAGTTTGGTTGAGTTTTGGATTGTTACGGTTGAGTTTTGCATTGAATTTCTTTTAGTGTGCAGGTTGCCTTTATGTCATTGGTTTCTCCTTTAATTCACTTTAATTCACTTCATACTCTGTATTATTATTATTGTTTTATTGTCTCTGTTCAACAATAAAATCAAGATTTTATGCATATGGGAAATTGATACCAGTTTTTACATACTTCAAAGAATTTAGGATGGATGCAGCTAGAGTTTTATGGCCTGAAATCCTAGATACCAGTTTGGTTGGCTATGTCTTTACTTGGTTAACAGGCTCGTTAACAGGCTTCAGGCCAGGCCAGGCTTTCTAGCAGGCCAGGCTTAGGCCGAAAATTAGGCCTAAAATAGGTAAAAGGCCAGGCTTGGGCCTACACTTTTTAAAATAGGCCCGGCTTGTTTAGGCGAAAGGCTGGCTTGGCCTGACCTGTTTCCACCCCTACCTGCAATTGTGACCTGAACATAATAAAACATCACATGAAACAAAGACAACCAAAATGAACACACAAGTAGCTAAACTTTATAGTACTAAGTAGTTGATTGTTTTTTATAGGATAGTACACGTATAAAATGATGCCAAGAAGCTCATATAATCTATTGCTCAAATTGAGGTTTCCTCTACACAAGCTCTTAAAGAATTCAACAAAATATAATCCTTTAACGATTTGCCAATGAAAACTATTTTGTTCATTTGATTTTCACCGTTTCTCCATTCACGTGATGAGAAAATCTCATGTATCTCTCACACACCCTGAAAAGTATATAGATTATCTGAGTTAATGACCCTTAAAGTTCCCTTGTAACAACAGATATTCATGTCATATTTTTTTGAAAAACAAAAATTAAGCAAACTAATGAGAGAGCGTCAAATGAGCAGCCTTTCTTGATACAACCAACAAGTTAAACTTAGCCTCTTACTTTTCTTGAATAAAAACAATATAGGAGCCAATTTCACCAAGTTTTAACACTAAAACTTTAAAAATAGACATAGTGAATTCACAACAATAAAGTAAAATAGTCAAACAAACAACACCATACACAGTTTAAACCGAAAAGTTATAAAACAGAATCCAAAATTATGAAATATAAGACATCATAAACATAAAATTAATTGAATCATTTCAACAAACATGTTATCGACATATTAATGACATAGAATAGTTAGACTAAATTTTCAATAATAAAGATCACAAACGTATCACAATAACACAAATATAATCAGCCATTCAACATTACCAGGTATATGAAGTACTACGCATGAACTAAAAGGTGCAGACAAGGGAAATAGCAGAGGGAAGAGGAAAGGATCGGTGTGCCAACGATTCAATGACGACCTCCGTTCGTCCGAGCTCTGTAGCTCGACGTTCAAAACGAAAACAAGGCGAAAGAGGGAGTAGTTGAAGACAGAGGAGAAAAGGGGAGAAGGTTGGAAGGATGAGGGGTGGTGAGGGATAATGGTCACGGACTAAATGTGGACAATCTGAAAGTAAGAGACTAAATATGGAAGTGATATAATAGTCTGGGACAAAAAGTGGATTTTTTTCAAAAAAAAAAGTAAAAGTGGTCAGTTTTATAAATTAGACGAATAGTTGGGGCAGTGATGATTTTCTAATTATCACCATTGACCAGATTCTCGCCCCTTTTAATAGTCCCACAAACGCTTCATGGATCTTTTCGCGTTAGGGCGTCGCCCCATCGTGCAACTTCTCCTCTGTTTCTCCCTCAAGGAGTCTCCGAGGGACTCCCATCTCCTCCCCCGACCCCCCCCCTCCGACGGTTTGACCTTCCCAACCGACCAGATTTGATCAGATATATCGCGGCCTCTGTTTCCCTCCGTTTGATCCCCACCTTCAATTTATCGTTGTGGATCCAAATTTGGTGATCCATTCTTTCACAATGTTATTCCAAGGCTTCTTGTAGTGCTCTCTGCCGTCTCCCAACCTTTTCTCTCCGATCCTACTATTTCTTGTTTGTTATTTAGCATTTTACAGTTATCAGTCATGGCTATTCGGTTCACCGTCAATTACACGGGCATTCTCGCCCAAAATCTTGCGTCTTCGGCTTCTTCCAAGGCCGGAAGCTGCCGATACTTGAATGGGTACCTCCCAGTCCGCCCAGGCTTCTTCAAAATCCCAGATTCGAAGACCTTTGATTTCCGACGGCCCGATCTCGTCAGTCCTTACTCATCGGCGTCCAGCTTGTCAGCCCACTCTGTGATCTCTGATGAGAACGTCGGTGGAAATTCGTCTTCACCGCTGATCGTTGGTTTGGCTTCGTTGTTGAAATCCTCGCCGGTTTCATCTTCTCATGGGGATTCGTCTCTCAGGAAGGCGTCAGTCGTCCCCTTTCTGCAAGCGTCGAAGTGGTGTCCCGATGGTAGCGAGTCCAACACGGGCGCGGCTGCCAGTACTCAACAGGACAGCGCAACACTTGAGCGAAACAAAGAGGTTTCTGTATCCGCTGCTATTTTCTCCGATCCATTGAAGCTCTCGAAGGAGACTTCAACTTGGTTCTCGAAAATGTTCAGTTCCTGCTCAGAGGATGCAAAGGCGGCCTTCACAGCTTTGAGTGTCAGCATACTGTTTAAGTCTTCCCTGGCGGAGCCCAAGTATATTCCTTCTACTTCTATGTACCCTACTCTTGATGTGGGTGACCGCATTATGGCTGAGAAGGTATATCTTTTACTTATCCTCTCTGTTAATGTGAGTTAGTTCTTAAATCAATATTGAAATATCTTGAGCTTGATCACTGGCAATTATTGAACAAATATTGAAATTATAGATTTTCTTTGATTGTCCATCTCTTTTTCAGATATGATAGTTCTTGTTTTGCATGGTTTTTTAACAATTGCTTTGCTGTGGTCACTTGGTTTGTATGACCGCATGTTAGCTATCTTTATATGCCATTTTAATGTGTAACATGGCAGTACTGTAATATGGCATATTGGTTCTGTTTAACTGAAACCAAACCAATTGTACTGATCCGAACCTAGTTTTGGTAATTTTATTTTTAAACCATATTTATGCTCCAAACCGAAGCAAAATAAAAAATTGTATAAACCATTATTATATTTTCAAATAATAACAAACCAAGACCAAGCAAAACCAAATATGCTGGTTTTAATTCCGTATTCAGACCCCCAACCTGTTCTAAACCAAACTAAAACACTAAAAAAATGAATGTAACCCGAAATGCCCTCCTTGCTTGCTATCTTGTTGACCTTAACTGAGATTATTTACCCTGTGGTTGGTTTATGATCGATAGTGTATCTGAATAATGAAAATATTGAATGGGTAGAGCACTATTCAGGATGACATTACAATTGCAATAACCTAAATAAGCTTTTGTAACATGGAAACTTATCTCGGTCTGTCTGGTCTTTCAGGTCTCATACATATTCAGGAAGCCTGAAGTATCAGATATTGTGATATTCAAAGCTCCTCCAATTCTTCAGGTGTTTGTTAATACTGTCCTTGCAGCTCGTACCTTCTTCCAATAAGTTGGCATTTTAAATGAACATTTCTAGCAGGAGTTCGGCTTTAGTTTCGGAGAAGTCTTCATAAAAAGGGTCGTAGCGATAGCTGGTGACTACGTTGAAGTAAGTTCCATCTCTGCTTATTCAGGCCTTTTCAGGGGTGTAGGTTGGACCAACAGGGCCTGGTCCCATCCCAAGTCCATCAAAAACTTTTTCTGAGTGTAATTGTTTGTGGGTAAAGAATTATACATTTATACGGATGAATTGTTTTTCTTTCTCGCCCCAAATTCAAAAAAATAGGATTCTGGCTAATGGCTATGCACTCATTGTTTTATTCTCTTAGCTCTTTATGTAAACATGTTTTTTTCCTGGTTTAAGGTTCATGATGGGAAATTGTATGTGAACGGCATTGCTGAAGATGAAGACTTCATTCTGGAGCCCCTTGCTTATGAAATGGAGCCGATGGTAAATTATCTTCCCGTATTACAGTACAGGTTCTAGGTATTGTTATCTTCTGAGAACTAACTTGTTCTTTTTCGTTAAATTGCTTAGCTTATTCCTGAAGGATATGTGTTCGTTATGGGGGACAACCGCAACAACAGCTTCGACTCTCATAACTGGTATTGTATTAGCTTAGTTACACACCATCATAGTGCTGCATCCACATCATAGTGCTGCTATTTTTCTTGCATATTCCCTTCTCGAGTTCTAAAGAGGCCATTTGGGTTCAGGAAAATACTTCGGAAAGAAAATAGGGACATATTTCAGAAGGAAATATGGTACGGGAAAATTTTAAAGATGTCATTTCAAATTTATTTTAGAGATTTTATGTTTCCAATTTTAAGATGAGTTAAGATGAGTATTTTTCATACCCCGAAAGAATAAAAATCTAAAAATATGTTTAGGTGAGTATTTTTAATCATATTTCATGTTTCTTTGCATTTTCCTATGTAAGGGAAAATATAAGAAAATCACATTCCTTAGCAATGTTTCCCCCTTCCCCTAGCAATTTCTGTGATCTAAACATAACCAAAAGCTGCTTAGGCAGAGTTAGGCATCTTAAGATGTATTACCTCTGTCCTTGTTTAGTTGGAGCATTGACTAATAGTAAGAATTACTCCCTCCGTTCCCATTTTATCTTCCGTTTCCCATGAGCACACAATTTAAGAAAAGTAGGTATTGTGTGGTGGAGAGTTGTGCAGAGGAGAGAGAAATGTGTAAGAAATGTTGTGAACCACAAATTCTTTACCAAAAGGGGAAAGTGGAAGTTTAATTGGAACGGATGAAAAAGGAAAGTTGGAAGATATAATAGGAACGGAGGGAGTATTAAAATAAATCATTATTTTGAAATCTTACTTTCAGGAAAAAAAATGATATACTTCTATAATACTAGTATAATTTTTCAAAGTACTACTAAATTAATATAGTCAAAGTACAATATATGAATAGCGTAGATGACAAAGTATTGCAACTATTTAAGAACGGGAAAGGAGTAGATGTCAAAGTATTGCAACTATTTAAGAACGGAGTAATTAATAATTCATTTTAGGGGGCGGTTTCAAGAGTCGAGTAATCCCTTCATAGGATTTTCTTGTACTCATCTATTGGTAAATTAAGCAAAATGGCTCACTAAACTATCTGCGCTTCTTTGTTATGGAGCATCAGTCAGCCCATGCAATTTTGAACGCGATTTTCACTATGGATCATCCGGAAACAGTCTCTCTGTGCTTTAGTACAGGGGTAAGACTGCGTACATCCGACCCCCTTACTCCACCGTAGGTAGGAGCCTTTGCGGCACTGGGGTAAATGAAAAATGAAAATGAAATCTATTGGTAAATTAAATAACGCTTCTTCTTTCCATTGTCACCAGGGGTCCACTTCCGATTGAAAACATTATTGGCAGATCAGTCTTTCGGTATTGGCCGCCCTCTAAAGTTTCAAACACACTGCATAGCTCACAGAAGAAGAAGAAAGATTTTGCCTTCTCCTGACCCTATCCCCTTCTACATGAAACATATCTAACTGCTTGCTTCATTCTCTTGATTATATTTTTGCCATCACTTCCCAGATCAGCTGTAAATACTACTATAGCTAAATTGGGTGAAGAAGCTTTGAAGACTGTTGATGAATTTTATTTAAATCTCTCTCCCCCACATTTGGTACCTCACATCTGTTTTTGTAAATTCCCATCTCATTGTAAGTTTCTTGCAATCCACCCCCTGGTTATTTAAATTTAGTAAATTCACCGGCCGAAGCACGTTTACAAAAGTAGACGGGAAGGGATTATTGACGATTGTTTAAATGTGGTACTCCGTATATAACGGGGGTGGGATGGATTGCATGAAAATTGGCATGAAGGGTCATGTTACAGAATCATGAACAATTGAGGGACCAAAATGACACTTTTCCCTTGATGTTTATGCTAGTCCATATCTTTAATGTTTAATTGTTTATGCTAGTCCATATATGTATAGCATTGGCTAGTGTTTGGATCTCTTTTGCAAATTGGAAGGAAAGTTGATTTGAGAAAAGACTGCGTGTGTATATATATTTCTTCTTTTATTATTTAGGTAACGACGTGGCAGTCAGGATGTTTTTACTTTTTACTTTGACTGTTTTCACTCCCAAGCCAAATCAGACTAGGCATGGACCCGGGCTGGGCTCGACCGGGCTTTTTTGGGAATCTTGAGGCCCGGAACTGGCCCGGGTAGCTACCGGGTCTGAGTCGGGCCTTGGCCGGTTACCTTTTTTTTTAATTACTTCCTACCCTCACCCCTCACACCCCAAACTCGTCCAAAACATCCAGCCTAACCCATTTACCTTTTTTAAATTTTGAAAAACAAAAAAAAATGGCCCGAACCGGGCTTGGCCTGGTCGGGATGGTTCAATTTTTTGAGACTCAGAGCCTGTCCTGAAATAGTACCGGGTTGGGTGGCCCACATCGGGCACAGACCTGGGTACCGGGCCGGGTGGCCTGAACTCGGCACAGACTCGGGTACTAGGCTGGGCCGAGCCGAAATAGTACCGGGTCGGGCTTGTTACAGGTCGATTGATTGGGCCGGTTACGGGCTTGTTGATCGGGCCGGTTGACCGGGCTGGTTACGGGCCAGTTACGGGCCGGTTGACCCAGCCGAGTCCATGAGTCCATCCCTAGATCAGACTTAAACAGAGCATTCCAGCCCAGCTGGTTGTGAGGTTACCGTTAGGGATGGATTCGGGTCGGGCCGCCGGTTCAAGAACAGTGGGCTCGGGACCGGCCCGAGGGTTGGACGGGTCCGGTTCGGGCCGGGCCACCCGCCCGGGTCACGGGTCGGGTCCGGTTCGGGCCGGGCCGGTTAATTTTTTTTTTATAATTTATATTTTATATTTTATAGTTTATAGTTTGATACGAGTATTAAAAACAAACTTCAATTGCATTTATTTGAAATGAAATAGGAACTACATTTGAAAATTAAAACAAACTTTAAGAGATAAACATTTTGAAAATTGTAATCAATCGGAACTTCCTGCACCTCCCGATCCTTTGGCTTTGTCACATGACTTCATATGCTTGATTGTCATCCCGAATCCGCCTGAAGCCCCCATAATACATTTTTTTCCGCACCATTTACAAATTGCGTACCACATCCCGGTCTTCGGGTCCTTCTGCTTATCAAAATTATACCGTATAATGGCATTTTGATTTTCCATCTTAACTTCTTGGAGAGTTGGAGAAGAGAATTAGAGAGTAGATATATAATATATTGGAGAATAAGAGAATTAGAGATTAGAGAGTTAAGAATAGGATTTAGGAAGAATTGGAGAAGAGATATGAAAAAATGTTTAAGAGTAGGAGAATTTATAGGTTTTTTTACCCCCCACCCCCCCACCCCCACCCCCTACCAGCCAACCCCCCGGACCCCCCCTTTACCCCACCCAACGGCTATATAGCCGTTTGGGTTGTCCCCAGCCCCACCCCCAAGGCCTCAACGGCTAGTAGCCAAAAATCAATTTTTTTTTTTTTTTAAAAATAGACCCGGACCCGGGGCCGGGTCACAAAAATGATGAACCGAGCCCGCCCCACCCCTTCCCCCCGGTTCGGGCCCAGACCCGGTCCCGGACCGCCCGACCGGGCCGGTCCCGGGCCCGCACAGTACCGGGCCGGGCCGGGTCACGGGCCGGGTGGCCCGAACCGAATCCATCCCTAGTTACCGTGCTTAGTGAGAGATTTCGAGTTCGAAACCTGCTAGACACATAAGTGTATGAAACTCAATGGAGTGAGTTTCAGTCCTAATTACTCCAGACCCCCCAGCCCCCTCTTTCTGATCTCTCCTAGAGTAAAAAAATAGAGCATTCCAGACCAGACTTCTGTAGTTATAAAATAAACAAACAACAAAATTACCAGATCAGTTCAGATTAGGGGTGCAAATGACTCAAGTCGTTCGTGAGCCGCTCCTGGATTGCTCGAAAAAAACTCGACTCGAGTTCGGCATATTTCAACTTGACTCGAGTTCGGCTCGACTCGAATGCTTAACAAGCTCGAGTCAAGCCTATTTATTTTAGGCTTGTGGTTAACGAGCCGGTTCGCGAGCCTCGGTATGTGTGTGTATATAGATATATTATGTATAACAATTATATATATAATATACATAGGGTTGGACTCGGGTCCGGGTCGGGCCTAGGCCCGGGCGGGCCGGCGGGTCAGAAATGGGGGACCCGGGACCGGCCCGGGTAACCACCGGGTCCGGGCCGGGCCGGGCCCATTATAATTTTTTTTTTGTTTTCCTCTTCCTAATTAACCCCCCTCCCACCCCCAACCCCCAAACCACCCCAAATGGCCCAAAATACCCAGCCCAACCCAAAAATTTAAAAAAAATTGAAAAAAAAAATTGATTTTGGCCCGAACCAGGCCCGGGCCCGGCCGGGTCGGGCCTTGTTTTGGGTGACCCGAGCCCGGACCGGAAAACCCACGGGCCGGCCCTACCCGGACCGGTCACTGACCGGGCCACCGGGTCGGGCCGGGCCACCGGGTCGGGCCGGGCCGGAACAGTGCCGGTCCCGGGCCGGTTCCGGGTCGGGCCACCCGGCCCGAGTCCATACCTAAATATACATATAACGACCTCAGGTTTTCAAATTATACAATCAGTGTGAAAGTATTTATAATAATAGCAATTGAAAACAAACAAATTAATTTTAAAAAAAACAAAATAGCCTTAAACAAGTAGATATAGTAAATGGGCGTGTGTAGTTAAATGTGATCATTTTCTAAAGTAAATAAAAGAGAGTATACAAATGAGAATAGATCCAATTAATAAAATAGACAAATCCTTGGTGCTACGTGGTTTGCAAATTAAATTTGAATAACTCCAAGAAGAATAAAGAAGAAGCAACAAAATATAATCATTAAATTACTACTCATGCAATTAGATGCGATGCAAAAATAGACAAGTAAATATGCAGAATATTACATGTGGGAACTGGGAACACATGTGTCAACCTGCATGCTCTACGTATTATAATAATATTAATAAGGACAATAATCATCACAACAGCATTTTAGTGTATAACACTATATATAAGAGATTGGGCAAGAACAACAACTTCAAAAAAAAGGCAAGTTTAGAAATGAAATAGTGGAGAGACAAGAAAAGAAAGAATAGAAGGTTAGCTAGGGAGAGGAGAATAAGGAGGAAATAGCTACTTACAAAATTTGCAGGTTTGTTTTCCTAAACTTTTATGTTAATCATATCATTTGTTATAATCTAAAACTTTATTGTTATGCTTTACTATTTGATTATACTTTTGTGTTTTATCGTCAAGTATTATTATAGCATTATGTTTTATTCAATAACATGGAAATTTATTATTTATTATATTTGAGAATTAAGGAAATTATATTTATATATAATTTAGAAAGGTGTATATTTAGATGTAAGCCTGGAATTCTTTACTTGAACTGACACTTTTTAAGAATTGGCTTACCTCATACATTAAGGAATGCTTTATTTAACTATTTCATATTTTAAGCTAAGTATTGACAAAACAAATGAAAACAGATCAGATAAAAGTTATATGTTCGAGTCTAAATTGTAAGTAAGATCAGAAGTTCAAAATGAAGTACAATAATGTAGAAAAGAGCAATATGAAATATTTATGAATGAGAAAGTTTCGACACTAATATACATAAAAAGAAATAAAGTGATTATAATGAGAATAATTTGTAATTATTCATATTATTGTTTTAAACCTGAAAGTATGTGAATAAAATAGGGGGGATATTTGCAATTAGTATAAAATCTAGGAAAAACTATAAATGTTAATATATATTGGTTTACATGATACGGAATTCATTTACATAAGTTTATATGTTTAGATTTGAAGTGATAAAGTGAAATAGAAATTATATACGAAGTATTATCAAACTATTTAAGTATAAAAATTCAGATAAAAGTTTATAAATATGATAAACTAAAATCGAGGTTATGTATGTAAATACATATATACACTTTCTTTCAAATTGGAGAATTTCATAAGATAAATTGTTATTTAGCAAAATAATGGATACGATAAAATAATATACAAAATAGAAATTTTATATGAAGCTTAACAAAACTCGGAAGTACTTATAATTATTTATATTCAACTTGGAACATCTTGTATTATAAATTTATAACTAATATGTTAAGTTCATTATAGTGATATACTAATTTGAAATAAGAAATACCGAGTAGTAGACTAGTAGTTATAATAAAATGAATGATATAAGCTTAATTTAATTAGGTAAAAACAAATGGAGTTTGAAACCTTGTTTCTGGATTTGGATAGGTTGGCATGCCAATAGGGATAGTTAATACGGTCGTAGAATTTAATCGATTAATTACGGGTCCGCAGCCACGGAGTGAACAGTACCCGAATTATGACGTTAAATTATGGGTCCGCAGCCACAAAGTGGACAATACCTAAATTTTGAACTTTGATCGTTTAGGGTCCGCAGCCACGGAGTGGACAATACCCAAACGAAAGGCCTAACCTACACAACGGTCAGTGCTGATATTACTCAGATGGTCTGCAGCCACGGAGTGGACAGTACCAGATGAGGAATGTCATGTTTATCCAGTCCATTAAATTAAGGAGCAGAATTCCAGAAACTTAATAAAAGAATAAAGCTGTGAAAAAGAAAATAGAGAGATTGGCAATGATCAGAAGATGAAAATTGAGCAATTGGAAGTTAAAGTGAGACAAGGAGAAAATCGAATGGAATATTGGATTGCAGCTATGATATAGCTCATGTGAATTTTGACTCTGACATAAAGTGGTGAAAATGGAGATAGAAAGAATTGATGAAAAATGTACAAATAGAAATTGTGAAAATGAAAGAATGATATGAATACAAATATGAAAGACTTAGATTTTACTCATAAATTATTTATTTCGAAATAAGCTAATGTTGAATACAAGGGACAACAGATAAATTAATGATTAAATAAAGTTACGATATTATGTTTAATAACCTGAAAAGAAAAGAATATTTATATCGCTCCATATGTTATAAATAAAATTACGAGATAATAACAACTTAAATAAAGAGTATAATTTTAAATTGGAA